TTCGGACGCCCGGACAGGCCTGGCTATGACACCTCATCCATCAAGTGAGCCTCATCATTGGGTATGCGGTCCTGCTTCCCAATAACACGTTCCAGCAAACGTTGTTCAAAGGTTTGGGCGTTGTCTTATCTGTCACCCAAGATGATCCCAGAGACGTTATATCGGGGAGGTCGGGTGAGCGTGACGGCCAGGGCATCACGGGTTCGTTAATGATGTTGAGAATGTCCTGGATTATTCGAACAGTGTGGGCCTGGCATTGTCCTGTTGGAACGGTATTTCTTGTGGCTGTCCGTTGTGAAAGGGAAGGACTGGCTGTAGAATTACATCCATGTAACGTTAGGCGTTCAAATTTTCACGGATGATGCGAAGACGTGTCTTCCTTTCACCTTTTTTAACTTGTACTATGTGTTCCCGTGTATTTTCAGGTGATGAATTGACTTTCCTTTGAATGTGTTTGTGACGGGTGCCACCGTTGGGGAAGGATACGCGCATCATTTCGCGAACACCTGGTATCATCACTATTTGATAGTGATTCAAAAACACATGCTCATGATATAGTCGGAATCGTACAGTCGACTCTTCTATTGGATATAGAAAGGGTTTTGTCGCTTTATTATTATAACTAATCGTTCACCTCTCACTTGATACACACACATCTGATCATCATGATGGAGGGGCTGTCGGGTAGCCTAGTGGTTAAAGCGTTCGCTCGTCACGCCGAAGACCCGGGTTCGATTCCCGACATGGGTACAATGTGTGAAGCCCATTTCTGGTGTCCCCCGCCGTGATATTGCTGGAATATTGCTAAAAGCGGCGTAAAACCATACTCACTCACTCACTCATCATGATGGAACAATTTGGATCTGTTTCGCCGCTGAACTGTACCCTGGACCAATCAGGGCACTGCCAACGTCGCACAGTTCGATACGACTGACGTTCATTTCGCCGTTGTTGACGGGTCATGTCAATGTCGATGACGTCAAAGATGGCGGTCCTCCCGTGGGGTGGTCACACATGGTCTCCTGCTCTGTGACCTGTCCCCTGTGTGCCCAGCCTGTGGGTATCGCTGAACTAGTCTGGCGACGGTCAACTGGCTTCACCCGACCTTCTAGTAATATCGGTTTGCGTAGCCCCATTCGGCGCCATTCCAAAATCCCCCCATGTCTGTTCCGCTGATAACCTTAACATTTTTCTCGCGTGCCTTGATGAGCTGTGATGTTTTGGCATCCAATAGCTTGCTTTTTATACCCTATATGCATTTGCTATCTTGTACAACATTCAGTACAAATAATTCTTCTCATAAAGCACGGACTTCTAACAGTAAGAGGATGTTGGGTGTGTTTGGAAAACCGTTTTCAGCCTGCTTTCAGTTTCTTTTAGCCAAAGTAAAAAAAATCTACTCACAATTTAACAACATGCACATTCAAACAATCGGTAGTTAATATAGGCCTATTCAAACATTCAGTCATTCGCAGCCAAGGCACAGATGGCTATCACCTAACCTGTGTCATATATCTTGTATATATGGTGTAAGCTGTCTCGCATGTCTGCACCTACCACCACACTTGCGAGTTGGGGAAAGGATGGCCATGTCGTCTAATGTGCTGTGCAGAGTTGCGTCCCATGGTATTGCCAGAATACTTCCATACCCGTGCTCGTTGGCTTCAACAAAGTAGTAAACCCAACTCCTCACAGCCCGTTCGCATCTTCCCGAGGCAAGAGAGTCAACTGACTATACAAAGTCCAGTTTCCACCCTTGCCGAACTAGGCTGGTATTATGGAGTTGGCTGGACTATGCATAGTCCAATCAAAATCGCGCACCGAAATCGAAATCGGTTCGTAAACTGTCGCGCAGATTTCGGTCGATTGCAGGATTTGTAAGGCATGTGCACCGCCAACTCGTTGTCAGCAGATATTTTCCAAATCTTTTCATGTTTTTAATCAAGATGCTCACGTGACTGGATGCATTTCGCGATGTAAGACCCGTTTTATCACAATATAGATCTTGATTATCGATTAGATCGTCCTGACCGGGCGCCACCATTTTGTGTGAAGCAAACGCAAGTGATACGAGAGGTGGAATCTGATTGGTCCATAGAAGAGGCTTAGAAGGGACATAACTCGTAATAGCCACTGGTGGTGCTACGATCGAGCCCAGTATTTCCAGCCTAGTTCGACAACTGGACTTGTAAAGCCAGTTAACTCTCTTGCCTCGGAAAGATGTCCGTTCGTGGAACTCCCTACACTATCGCTGCCACCAGTCACAGTTCCCCAGTGTAATAGGCGACCCAAACCATACTTGGAGTTGAACTCACCTCGCCGTCATGTTTACAAACAAGTGATATTTTGTATGTCAATTTGAATTTCTGTTTCGTTTCAACTATAATGTAATTGGTACAATAAGAATTCTGTAAGTGGGAATTTGGATGTTTTTCCGTTAGTCCGCAATCTCGAACCAATCTGATTAAACAAACGAAAGGTAAATTCATTTCAAAACTCACTATCATGGCATTCCAAAACAGACAGTTATATGAATGTCATTGCATTTGGGGTTAGAGGGCAACTTTAGATTCTTGTAATGGCCGCTTGCACACTGGCGGCAACGAAGATGCCTGGAGGGTAGGCGTAACGCGCTGGGAGGGGCGTTGGTGTAAACGTGTAGTGCCTGCATCATTTTTGGGTTTTCTTCCCCCATTAAACATTATATGGAGGAATGCTGTTTAAAGCTGTGGTAAACATAACTCGTTCACTACATTCGCCATTTCCCCGAGACAAGGGAGTTAACTGACGATACAAGTCAACTCCTAGATGAACATGACCATGAAGCAATTATCTTAACAGACTCCATGGCAGCAATTAAAGCTATAGAAGCTGGCACAAATGGATCCACAGATGACATTGTTTATGAGATATTTAAGCTGGATTCCTTTCTAAACACGAAGTACACTGCAAGCGATGTAGGAATACATAGGAATGAGATCGCATATCATTTGGCCAAATCTGGAGGACAAAATCCTAAGGTTGATGTATGTATTGATGTTTTCGACCAAGCCCCACAGAGTTTGAAACTGTTTTATCGCAATCTAGTTCAACAAGTTCGCAACAATGCTGGGATGCTGGCACTACCGGCCGCGATATGTACAAACTTAGACTATCCGTAAAATCGGTTTACTTGATGAGTTAATTCCGACACCGACTTGGACACTATGGGGAGTGAGTGAGTATGGTTTTACGCCCCAATATTCCAGCAATATCACAGCAGGGGACACCAGAAATTGGCTCCACACATTATACCCATGCGGGGAATCGAACCCGGGTCCTCGGCTTGACGGGCGAACGCTTTAACCACTAGGCTACCCAAAGGCAACTGAACACTGGGCTAAATGCCTACAGGAGTATCATTGATGAGGCGGTCCCTCCTAAATGTGGCCACCGTCATTTTGAAACTACCGAAATATATGTTCTGGGCATAATTACATAAGACAAACTCTCAAAAATGCAGGGGCACGGGTGGCCCAGTCGTCTAAGGCGCCGCGATTCGCTGTGCAGAGTTGCGTCCCTTGGGCACGCCAGAAACCTATGATTGTGGGTTCGAATCCCGGTTCGCCCCGATTATGTTTCCAGGTTTGTCATCACCATACCCGTGCACATTGGATTTCACCGAAGTAGTAAACGTGTGAGACCTGCACCACTTCCAACATTAAACTGAACGCCATTATATAACTGGAATACTGTTCCATGCGGCCTTAAACCCAACTCACTAACTCAGAAGTGTTGTGCTTGATGATAAATCTAGTCCATGTTGTGTTGTGCATTTTATGATGGTTTTCAGAAAAGCGGGCGAGAAGAAGGGGAACAAGATGGAAAAAATCCACCTTTCACAATGCAAATGTTATGGTTTTAAATAGTACCAACACTCCAACTTGAACAGCTGCTCGGCGGGGCTTGATACAGAAAACAAGGTCGACATATTTTCTCATCATCTTCAGACAAGAAGTGAGACTCTAACAATGGCTATTTGTTTTATGCATTTATACCTTACAAAATGAATTGAATATTGGTTCGTCTACACTTGGGGGCATGGGTGGCCCAGTAGTCCAATCCGCCGCAATTCGTTGTACAGAGTTACGTCCCTTTGGCACGCCAGAAACCTATGCTCGTGGGTTCGCCCCGATTATGTTTCTAGGTTTGTCAGCACAATACCCGTGCACGTGGGTTTCACCGAAGTGGTAAACGTCTGCACAACTTCCGTCTTTCCTCCAATCTCATTAAAATCAGATCGTAGTTCTCCCTACCGCTGAACAAAGATCTGAGGACATCCCATTACGGGTCACGTCAGACCGACCTTGCGCGAACTTTGACCGACCAATGGAATGACCAATAAGAAGGCAGCTTTCTCGTGCTTGACGGCACTAATTTCAAATTGGCGACTTCGCTTCGAAACTTATTTTCGATTAAAAATTTGAAACCTTAACAAAAAAAACATTCTGGAATGGCTAATAGATGGTCTAGATTGTAAGGAAACAGTCGTTAAACCCGTATCTATCGTTCGGTATACCCCATGTTAAAGTTTTCGAGGTTGTATGATTAGAAATCACATTCCGACTGTCACTATTATAATCTGGTAAGCGACGCACTGATTGGTCGGTTGAAAAGTCGGTCTGACGTGACCCCTAATGGGATGTCTTCAGATCTTTGTTTAGCGGTAGCGAGAACTAAGGTCTGATTTTAATGAGATTGGTCTTTCCTCCCACATTAAACTGAACGCCATCATATAACTCGAATACTGTTCAAAGCGGCGTTAAACCCAACTTACTCACTAACTCACCCACGCGTTATCAAGGCTAGCACGAACTTAATTCTTATATATAATGAAAAACGGGGTCATGGTAATTCAGCTGTATAGCCTTTGCTCTATATATAATCAGAATATGTATCTTAATATAAAAAATAACAATAATTCTTCGTGAGTTTAACGCAACATACAGACAATGATTCGGTAAGCTAAACATATGTTTATTCCTCTAAATGTTACAATTTTAAACATTCTTTCAGATACATGTACACACATATTGCCTAGATGCTAACAGAACACCATAAAGCTTTTGGTATCACATCACCATGTCGCTTCGCCGTATGTGTATTGCAGATCCTCAGACGGGCAATGGCATGTCGCTCCCCGAAGCAGCTGTAAAATCCCTTCCTTACATGTTTATACCGGTCATTAAATTACCTTGTCCTTCGAATATTCAACCAGTTATGTAGTAACGCTTGACAGTAACGTTACTTGGCTATATATCATCGTGTAGGCTGATATTACCCGAGAAAATTTATTTCGTTATAATTATCATGTGAAAGACATTGAAGCCTAGCTATGGAACCTGCGTTTATTGCTCTGAGGACGGGGAATAACGGAAAGCTATTTTGTGGTGACGTCACAATGTGTCTGATATGGATGTATGAATAATTAACCAAGGGCTTTAAGGTCGACACAGCTTAGTTAAAGGTTGTTTCTACGAATGTGTTGATGTTTTTCCCAGTTAATTACTGAAACGAATTTTAGAAATACGGTCGTTCGGTTAGACATGTTGCTACTTTAAGAGAGCTACCTAACATGGACTTACACAGAATATACATACACAATGACATCTCATTCTCCCCATGGCTGTAACATATATTTATCTAGCTTACAGACATACAGCGTTATAATTCAGGATCATAGTCATCTTTATCCGAACACGATATTACATGCAAGTACACGGTGTTTGCGATCAAAGATTGTCTTTCCACATTGCTTGGTTATACCATTTTCGGTACCGTCCGGTTGATTTCTTCTAAATTCTTGACGCCATTTTTGTCCTTGAATCAACACTTTGATTCTTTATTAAATATCAGCTTATTGCCATATGTACCATGGCGATAACCTCTGACCTTGCTCGGTCGACCTTCACCTAAACGTAACGTCTGATGGCATTACTGGCAGTTTGGCAACCATTCCACAACTGCGACCTCTTCATCCTTGAACCTTCCTCAGTACAAAGGACTTCATGACTGCGTCAGGGCAACGTCGATGTAACGAGGTCAGGGGTGACGAGGTCAGAGGTTACACGTCAAAGTAGGTGACCTGAGTGGCTGTGATTGCTCCACAGAAGCTCAATATGGCGGCGGCGACAATGACAGCGGTGGTGCTGCCGACGGCGTGGATGATACTGCCGATGGACACTGAGAGAAGAAACTGGGCTAGGAATACCATGCTGCTTATCAGTGCTACGTCAGTTCCGAGACCACGCACCTGTTCGTCCTGGGGACGGTTGAACTGAAACAAGAAGGGACAGTGAGTGAGTATATGTTTTTACGCCGCTTTTAGCAATATTCCAGCAATATCACGGCGGGGTCACCAGAATGGGCTTTACAAATTGAACCCATTTAGGGAATCGAAACCGGGTCTTCGGCGTGTCGAGTGAATGCTTTAACTACTAGGCTACCCGACCGCCCCATATGAAGGAAGAGCTACAGATAAGTCACAATCTCATTAAATCATTTTACTCCGATATGAAACCTCTCTGCGGGATGGACCGAGGCTTCTAAATTCGGTGGTATGGGTGAACGAAGCATCCAAAATATGCTTGAGTTCTGTATCTCGAAAATGAATATAATTGGGAAGTTCAGAAAGCAAAAACATAAACCCGCGCTATTAAATTGTTCTGCATGCTTTGTCTGTTTCTGAGCGTCAAAACATCAACACCTTTTACATATCTAGAGGTTGTACTATCGAGGGTAGCAATTTGCTGTGCAGAGTTACATCCCTTGGGCACACCAGAAACCCATGATTGTGTGTTCGAATCCCGATTCGCACCGATTAAGTTTCTAGCCGTGTCATCACCATACCCGTGCTCGTGGTAAACATCTGAGTATTCCTCCCACACTAAACTTACATGCCCTGATATAACTGGACAACTGTAGAGTTAAACCCAACTCACTCACCCACTCACTCATTCACCACTCCAAATTAACATAAACACTTGTCTTTTGCTGATCGAAAATATCCTATGCCATATTTATAAAAATTGCTTCCTTGAAGCTATGCAACTGACATACACAATTATGAATCCAGAACCATGCAAACGCACACTGTACGCATCATGAACATCGATCCTTTGAAACTGCCTTATCCTAAATTTGTCTTTTTTTAGATAGTACCACGTGAGGGAAATATAACCGAGGAACATTTTCATCTAAATGATATTTGGCTGTTTCTTGTGTATTATTATCTCGTCAACATCATATAGCTGGAATACTGCGGCGTTCACTGACAACTAGCTCTCTGATTATTTTTTATAAATCTCAATTACTCTCTCTCTCTCTCTCGCTCTCTCTCTCTCTCTCTCTCGAACTCTCTCGAACGAACGAACGAACGAAGATCCGAGGTAATACATGCACAGCGCCGGACATGACAAAGTGTATACCATGGATCGTCGTGGTTTACCGTGTTAAAAATGCAACAATCGCTATACGAATTCCCGAGATCTATGGAAAATGACATCACAAACGATATTTATTTTATCGACTTCCTTGGCTGCTATTTTCACAGTTCTAAAATTATCTCTTTGCCTGAAAATTGATTCAACCTCACATACACATTGCCAAGAAGACGTCGATCAGTTTTAATTCTATAACAGGTTTCTTTTTATAAACAACATGGCTTCAATATCCGTTGTTCATTTGAGTACTTCCCTTCGCTCTTTGACGTAACAAGTTCTCCATTATCCCCTTTGTAAGAATTCTACCGTGTATTGATCGACCAGTCCTGACTTCACTTCCCTCCCAATCGCGTATTGTCAATAACAGTAATTCTGATGTAAGTCGTCACCGCTGACGCGTCCTCCGCGGGACTATTTGGCATATCGGAGAAGAATTACGTCCCTATAACTGCGAAGAAAGGTTCAGATCTGTGGGTCTAAATTAAGGGAGTAGGATCGCTGAAATCAAGCCTTGATTCCCTTCACGTAATCCTCCTCCGTAATCGCTACAATCCAACCGGATGGCATGAATTCCAAGTGCCTTTTTTGGCCTGACCTTATCACCACACCACCACGCGGAGTGATAAATACAAACGAATTTCAGCGTTGCCGTTATTGGCTGAGAGGTCGTTAAATCGACAGACTCCGTCACTAGCCAGGCAGTAATTTAATGAAGGAATACAAACGGGTTTTGAACAAGGCAGGTATGACGTTTACTGGATTTAGGGACAATTTGGACACATGTTATGATGTGAGGGGGAAATTGATTCAAATTACGACTTGCCATCAAACCTGAAGTCTCACAAAATATCGCCCTGACAGACGTGACGATGCGATACCCAAACATCGCACGTTCACTTAGGTCTAGAGGCTTCACCACAGAGCCATTAGCAAATATTTAAGCGTATCAAATTGTCACCCTTCAAAGGATTCAAAACGATACATCAAATATAGTATGATAGCTTTTATCGCTGTCGTAGAGATTCCGATTTCATTTAAAGTCCAAGAATAAACTTCTGACCTTCATGAAAAGCATTCCGACATTAACTGGTGATATATCGTTCCCGCACGTTTTGATATAAAGATATTGCATGATGAAATTTCAAAAATATAAACCCCAATAGAATGAAGATGAATATTCTCACCAATCCGATTTGCCATTAATTAGTTTTCTTTATGTAGATTCCTTCAGCATCCTTTCAAATCTATTACAGCGGAATTGCCAATTTTGCTGAAAATGTTTTTCTACGTCGAACCAGATATGATATTAGTTCTGAAATTGAATCTTAAGTAGCTCCTTTCATTACCAAAGTGTTAGTAATATATACTTGACAAACATGTTCTCGTATTAACTAGAAACATATTCTACACAGAGAAAATAATGAAACGAAGCATTTGTCTGCATTGTAATATGTATTTCGAATGTAAACACATGCAAGATCTGTTTTGATCTAAACGTGTTTAGGAATGTGTTTTTAAATCATAAACGTATTACACATTTGGTGAATTCTATCTAACTTGTTTAGGGTCTACCAACGAAATGAGCTCTCTTCTTACAGCCTGAACACAACCTGAACTAAACATCCCCTTAATCTAAACATGTTTAGAATTTAAACATGTTAACGACAAAGGGTATGTCATTGTGTTTTATCCTTATAATTTGAACGTGTTTAGAATTGAAACGTGTTTAAATAAAGTGCATATCATTGGGCATTATGTCAAATATGGATAAGATGTATACTAGTGAGTGAGTGAGTTGGGTTTAACGCCGCTTTTAACAGTATTCCAGTTATATCGCGGCGTGTCAGCTTAATGTGGGAGGAAAGCCCGAAGTGATGCAGGTCTCAGACGTTTAACACTTCGGTGAAACCCACGAGCACGGGTATGGTGCTGACAAACCTAGAAACATAATCGGGACGAACCGGGATTCGAACCCACGATCATAGGTTCCTGGCGTGTCCAAGGGACGCAACTCTGCACAGCGAATCGCGGCGCTTTAGACGACTGGGCCACCCGTGCCACCAGATGTATACTAGTATATATTGAAATCAGACATACTTGTTGCAGTGTATGACCCTTTATTGCATGTTGAAATTACCATAATCTTCCTAGCACGTCATCAGTGAACATTTTTAGTGTAACCGTCAATCGTTTCTCTGATGATGATGTTGATGTTGAGCTCCACTCGCGAAATAACTTGTTTCCTCCAAATGGCCCAGACACATGTAACGTTATTCCGATCCTAATAATGTTTGCTTCTCCTCGTTTTAATAAAGTTTTGTAAAGTCATGGGATGATATCACCTGTTTCAAGTATAGATTCTAGTTAAAGCACTTTAATACAATACCTATACAGATAGTACGATACTGCCCACATGATAATATTAACAAGTAGAAAGATAAATGCTAGCAATGACGCTGTACAAGTTCGTGTGACGTTAAGGGGCGGTGGGGTAGCCTCGTGGTTAAAATAGTCCAGCAATATCACGGACACAAGAAATGGGCTTCACACAGGGTAAAAAGCGGCGTAACACATACTCACTCACTCACTCACTCACTCGTATGTTGTTAAATGATCCTCTATTTTCTAAACACGGTATATAATGGATCCCAACGAACCGGAATTGGCGTTTTTTATCCAACATCCAACGTATGATAATTGTCCCTTCTGAGAAATATAATACATGTTTATTGCACTGGAAGAAATTGTGTTAGTGTCAATAGTTTAGTTAAACAGCGAAAATGATTTCAATGACAATCAGAAACCTTTCTCTGTTTTTGCCGCATGGTCCTTATATTAACACCATTGACGTTACTTTAAATCTGGTCGACAACATTTGAGGAAATGATCGCCCGTAAAGCAGTCTCGGCAATGTGAGTTATGGTAATGCGATGTTTGACCTCATTAATATTGACTGATTTCGCTGTCTGTCCCACCAAACAGACCCTTCTTTATGGGAGGCTGTCTGTAAACCTGATCTGAGGGCCATCAAGAACAGAAGTCCATGTTATCAACATGCAACAGGCCGATAACTAATGCGGCGTTGTATAAATCGCAACCAGTGTTTACTAGTACTAGGCATCTTCCCGAGGCAATGGAATTAATTGACTTTAAAATCCCAGTTTTCACCCTTGCCGAACTAGGCTGGAATTATAGAGTTATATTTTGGCTGGACAAACGAGTCTATGCAGAGTCCAATCAACATCGCGTAACGATGTCGATTTCCGGTTCGTAAACAGGATTTGCAAAGCAGGTGTCAACAGATATTAACCAAATCTTTTCATGTTTTTAATCAAGGTGCTCACGTGATTTGATGCACTTCGCGATGTAAGATCCGTTTTATCACAATAAAGATCTTGATTATCGGTCAGATCGTCTTGACTTGGCGCCGCCATTTTGTTTGAAGCAAATGCAACCGATACGAGGGGTGGAATCTGATTGGTCCATAGGAGAGGCTAAGAAGGGACATAACTCGTTATAGCCGCTGGTGGCGCTACGATCAAGACCAGGAATTCCAGCCGAGTTCGGCAAGGACTGGACTTTTACAGTCAGTTAACTCCCTTGCCTCGGGAAGATGATACTAGTTGACCAAATGGTTAAAGCGTTGGCTCGAGTTTGATTCCCCATATGGGTACGATATGTGAAGCTCAATTCCGGTGTCCCCCGCTGTCATGCCTGGAGTATGCAAAATATAGGTTTCCCCATTCACTCGTCATTACGTCACGGTAGGGTATACACTATGTTCTTCCATCACCCGTAAATACATAGTCCGGTCTGCAGTGTAGTCGTTATATTT